GCTGTGAGGGTCATAAGGACAGAGGGATGTCGTATGCTGTAAAGCCCTGTGAGGCAAATTGTGATTTGTGATATTGGGCTTTATAAATAAAATTGATTGATTGATTGATTGATTTCATTGAATCTAGGTATTCTTCTATTATCTACACAGCCACAACCCCCAGACATCCATATCAACACAAACTTAGCATTTCTTTTTTAACCCTCTATGGTACGATGTTGCCATTTGGTAACAAACCCACTGAATTCCTTTTACACATACACACAATACTTCCCCTTTTACGATGTAGTGTGTTGAAAGAGAGGTGGGGTCCTAAGAGAACCAATAGCAGTGTTTAAATTTGTCATATAACTTTCTGGAGGGAATTTTGAAGCCCTTTTCTGCAGACCTCTTCACAGGGAGGAGCCTCGCTATTTGACTCCTCAAAAATCATCTAAAAAAGTATTTTTATGACATTTTTCGACGGGGAAAAAAATACATACTCAACAATAAGTGAGGTAAGTTCACTATTCTGTAGTTTATTGCAATGTACTTGATCATTTAATAATGTTAAACTGTTAAAATGTGGAAGTTGCCATATGGCAACACCGTACCATTATTATTACCATTGAATTGCTAGCCTGGCATGTTGATAGCATTTTGGATTAGGTTATAGGCCTACATTGTTCAAAAGCATATTGTACCATGTGGACTCATTTAGTTATTTTTTCAGGTCCATCAGTTTGACAGATACACATTTGAATGTTAGGTGTAGTAAAGTTAAAGTTATTAGCAATTACATTGGTATACACTGATCCTCTAGAGTCTACTATAATAATGCACTTTGTGAGTCCTTTCCGCATTGCATATGATTATATTTGACACTTTTTTCTTCCATTTACAGAATGAACGCAACAGTGTTTTACGGTTCCTCATGGAAGAAAGCCAAACTAGTCCTCCCTGTAGATGGTAGTGAGGATGAATTAGGATTTAGTGATGAAGAAAACAAGCAGCTTGCAACCAACCAAGGAGAGAGTGAGGATGATGGAGACAGTGAGAATGATGAAAACTATGAGCCAGAGAATGAGGACAGTGGAGACAACAAGGACAGTGGAGGACAGTGAGGGTGAAAGTGCAGTGACAGTGCAGTGTGGGTGAAAGTGCAGCTATTATTTATGTATTGCATTAAATTGGTAGATTCATAACATACTAAGGATATTTGTTTGGCAAAGATGGCAGCATCAAGACCCTCAGATCAAATCAAAACAATTATTCAAATGATATAGCACAAAAATTTGAATGAAATGATGAAAAATATCTTTTTAAATGGTTTCAACTTTCAGATGAGATACATTTTTAACTGGGGACTGTTGAGACTATAACCTGAGTTTTTAAATAAAGGCTTTTACAATTATAAACAAAACTCTCTTGTTTTCATTAATTTCCACTATCGTACGGTGTTGCCGCTTGGCAACATCAACAAAAAATTACTAAAAAAATTTTTATTTTTTTTTTGCAACAATGGCTTGTAAACCTCAATAATGAAAAAATATGATCAGAATATAGCCACAAGCGGCAGTACTGGGGTTCAGGCCAGCATGGACATTTAAAACTTGAGAGCTGGGTAGAATTAAGACCTTTGACAGTTCAGGACACCTGCATAAAAGGTTACCAATAGGTTTTATGACAATCAGACAGATGCTTTTTTATTTCAATTCAATTCAATTTTATTTATAAAGCCCAATATCACAAATCACAATTTGCCTCACAGGGCTTTACAGCATACGACATCCCTCTGTCCTTACGACCCTCACAGCTGATCAGGAAAAACTCCCCAAAAAAAACCCTTTAATGGGGAAAAAAACAGTAGAAACCTCAGGAGGAACAACTGAGGAGGGATCCCTCTTCCAGGACGGACAGACGTGCAATAGATGTCGTACAGAACAGATCAACATAATAAATTAACAGTAATCCGTATGACACAATCAGACAGAGAGAGAGAGAGAGAGAGAGAGACACAGAGAGAGAGAGAGAGAGAGAGAGAGAGAGAATATACTAGAAAAATATACTGAGAGTCCACAGAAACTGCCCAAACCACGGCTGCAGAGTAGAGCTGGGCCAGTTCCCCCTCTTACTGTAATTAAAATTAAAAAGAGAACTATCAAATTTTGGAACCACTTGACAGAGTCTGATTTAGACTCATACCAGCACAGAGCATACTTGGAGCAGCAGGGCTCTCTGAATCCAGAAAATAATACCTGGAACGGGACAAATGAGGAAATCAGATTGACAAGTCATAATGACGCTACAAAAATAATTCCATACTCACAAATAAAACAAATCGACAAATAAACAAAAATATTGCAAACAGTGGAAAACAGAAACTCAAACAATCAATAAACTAGAATGTTATAATTTACTGGACAGAGAATTTCAATTGGCCCAATATTTAACCCAAATAAACCCCCCCCCCCCAAAAAGACAAACTCTTACAAAATATAGACTCAGTGAGCATAAACTTGAAACTGGTTGCCATAGAAGAGAGTGGCAAGAAAGAACAACAAGAATTTGTGTCCACTGTGAAGTAGAGACTGAAACTCACTTCGTCACAAATTGTGACGCTTAACGTAGCCTATGTGTAAAGTTAGTTTTCTAATTAGGAGTTGGGCCCTAAAATATACCTTTTGTCTTGCAGGTCTGAGAGCTTGTTAAAAAGCTACTGGAAACATCCATGGAGAGCAGGAAACAATGGAGCAACATACTATCAGATCAGAAGGCAGAGTCGGCTGTGCCTGTGAAACGACAGTCCGCCATGCAGTCACCAGAGACTTATTTCACCGGCTGCACAATTAAGTACAAATTGGTAAACAGTTGTTTATTAATCAGTGAAACAAACTTTATTTTCATCAGGCAAAAAAGTCAGGAACAAACTCCTTTTTTAAAAAAAAAAAGTGACTTCATTTAATCTCAGTACATTAAAACTGAACCGTCGGATTATCATCAGCGGCTGACAATTGATTATCAATCTATCGGTTATCAATCATGTTTATTAATCGTTATACATCAGTTAATTATAAACTAAAAAACAGTTAATTTCAGGTTGTAAACATTTGTTGACGTCACAGTTTTTATGAAGCTTCACTTTTTAGTTTGATCTCTGATCAAAATCAGCACTTTATTTTCATTTCAGTGTTTTTATCTCCTCGTTTCTTACAGTGGGAATAACCTCTCACTGTAACCTCAGTTCTCCGATCCATGTCAGGAGCAGAACTCTGCAGCAATGCCGTCATAACCATGGAAACCACACTTCCTACCAGCAACTCTGCAGCCAAAGGTCAGAGCGTCCTGAACGGTCCCACCTGAGGACAGGAAACATCACTCATTCATTTATGCATGTACACACAGACAGGAAGTCCCACCTGAGGAGACAGGACGTCAAACCTGAGAAGACAGAAAGTCACACCTAAGGAGACAGGGACACCTAAAGACACAAGGGCACCTGAAAACACAAGGAAAACTAAGGAGACAAGGAAACCTGAGGAGACAGAAAGTCACACCTGAGGAGATAGGGACACCTGAAGACACAAGGACACCTGAGGACTGATCTCAGAGCAGTGAAGACTGAGGAAGAGGAGGAGGAGTGATGAAGACCTCAGAGACTCTCACAGCTCAGAACCTGGGAGGAAGTTTCCTTCAAAATGAAAGTCATGCCTAGAAACTCACAGGACAGTGTGATGTCTCACTGTTGGACAGTGTGATGTCTCACTGTTGGACAGTGTAATGTCTTACTGCTGGACAGTGTGATGTCTCAATATTGGACAGTGTAATGTCTCACTGCAGGACAGTGTAATGTCCCACTGTTGGACAATGTAATGTCTCACTGTTGTCACTGTTGGACAGTGTGATGTCTCACTGTTGGACAGTGTGATGTCTCACTGCAGGACAGTGTAATATCTCACTGTTGGACAGTGTGATGTCCCACTGCTGGACAGTGTAATGACTCACTGCAGGACAGTGTGATGTCTCACTGTTGGACAATGTGATGTCTCACTGCAGGACAGTATTATGTCTCGCTGTTGGACAGTGTAATGTCCCACTGTTGGACAATGTGATGTCTCACTGTTGGATAGTATGATGTCTCACTGCAGGACAGTAATGTCTCACTGCAGGACAGTGTGATGTCTCACCGTTGGACAGTGTGTAGATGACAGCAGAGTTGAACGTGTCCCCGGCTCCCAGAGTGTCCACCAGAGATTCAGGAGGAAAAGCATCTGAATGAACGACTGAACCGTCAGGACACAAAGCATCCGCTCCTTTTTCTGCCCAGGCACAAATCAGAACAGCCCTGAGGGACAGACAGAACAGAGACAGAGACAGAGGCAGGTCAGTCACAGACAGGACAGACAAAGAGACAGGTCAGAGACAGACAGGTCAGAGAGAGAGACAGATATGTTTGCCTCCTCATCTGTCCTAACTGTTGACCTTTGACGTCCACTCACCCCGGTCTGACTCGACTGTAGAGTCCTCTCAGAGCAGAGTCAGCTGTCTGGAAACCAAAGTGACGAGCCACGTCCTTACTGACAAACACCTGAGGAGACAAGGACACCTGAGGACTAGAGAACACCTGAGGAGACAAGGACACCTGAGGACTAGAGAACAGCTGAGGAGACAAGGACACCTGAGGACTAGAGAACACGAGGAGACAAGGACACCTGAGGAGACATGGACACCTGAGGACTTGCACATTTGAAGACAACAAGACCTGAGAGCTAGAGAACACCTGAGGACTACAGAACACCTGATAACTAGAGAACACCTGAGGATGAGAGAACACCTGAAGACGAGAGAACACCTAAGGACTACAAAACACCTGAGGACTAGAGAACACCTGAAGACAAGAGAACAACAAAGAACTAGAAAACACCTGAGGACTAAAAAATACTTTAAGACTTGAGAACACCTGAAGACTAGTAAATATCTGAGGACTAGAGAACACCTGAAGACTAGAGAACACCTGAGGACTATAGAACACCTGAGGGCTAGAGAGCGCCTGAGGACTAGAAAACAACTGAAGACGAGAGAACCCAGGACTAGAAAACACCCGAGGACTAAAGAATATTTAAAGACTAGAAAATACCTGAGGACTACAGAACACCTGAGGGCTAGAGAGCACCTGAGGACTAGAAAACACCTGAGGACTAGAAAACATCTGATGACGAGAGAACACCTGAAGACGAGAGAACCGAGAACTAGAAAACACCTGAGGATTATAGAACACCTGAAGACGAGAGAACAACCGAGGACTAGAAAACACCTGAGGACTAAAGAATACTTGAAGACTAGAGAACACCTGAGGGCTAGAGAGCACCTGAGGTCTAGAAAACACCTGAGGACCAGAAAACACCCGTAGACGAGAGAACAACCGAGGACTAGAAAACACCTGAGGACTAGAAAAAACATTAGGACTAGAGAACACCTGAAGACGAGAGAACAACAGAGGACTAGAAAATTCCTGAGGACTAGAGAACACCTGAAGACTAAAGAAAACCTATGGACTAGCACACCTGAAGACAAGAGAACAACCAAGGACTAGAGAACACCTGAGGACTAAAGAATACTTGAAGACTTGAGAACACCTAAAGACTAGAAAATACCTGAGTACTAGAGAAACCCTGAGGACTAGAGAACACCTGAGGACTAGAAAACACCTGAGGACTAAAGACTAGAAAACAACTGAAGACGAGAGAACACCTGAGTACTAGAGAACACCTGAGTACTAGAGAACACCTGACAGACTGTAACAGACTTGTGTCATGTATGTTGAAGACAGGTGAACGTAACAGGTGACGTACCACGTCACCATGAGGAAACAGCTGATACAGTGGCTCTCTGGTCTTCTCTATCTCCACAGAGATGGTGATTCTCTGTTGCTGTGGCAACGTGCTGTTGTACGTCACCACCTGCTGGATCATCTTCACCTGCTCCTCGGCATTTCGGCCCTGCAGGAAAACCCAACTGACACCTGAGGACTAGAGAACACCTGAAGACTAGAGAACACTTGAAGACTAGAGAACACCTGAAGACTAGAGAACACTTGAAGACTAGAGAACACCTGAAGACTAGAGAACACCTGAAGATGTTCTGTGTAGGGTCGTGTTGTCATCTCGTGGTAAAAACAGTTATGAGTGTTCCGTCAGTTAAGTCTGGTTCAGTCCTGTTAATGTGGTTCAGTCCTGTTAGTCCTGTTAGTCCAGGTCAGTCCTGTTAGTCCGAGGCAGTCCTGTTAGTCCAGGTCAGTCCTGTTAATGTGGTTCAGTCCTGTTAGTCCTGTTAGTCCGGCTTAGTCCTGTTAGTCCGGGGCAGTCATGTTAGTCTGGGTCAGTCCTGTTTGTTTGTTTTTTTTAAACTTTATTTTTTTCAGGATTTCAAGTACAGTAGAAAAAAGCAACAACAAAAGACAGAGAACAGAACATGAGGTCTTGGCAAATCTAAGTACCTCAGAAACAGGTACAGGTTATTGTAGAGAAATTTCACAGTTTAGTCCCACAACAAATAAAATAATAGAATAATAAAAATTAAAAGAAAAAATCCCTAATCAATGTCGTTTTCCCTCAGGTAACAATCCCATTAGACAGTAAACGTCCTGTCTTTTCCCAAAAAGGTCTAATCCGTGGACACAACCAAAATACATGGGCATGGTCCGCTTGCGTTGATCCGCACTCCCTCCAACAGGGGAGTTGTGTCCCAGTCCACTTGGATTTCTGCTTTGGTGTTATAAAAAAGCGTATCAAACTCTTCCATCCAAAATCTCTCCGTGTCAATGAATTAGTGGATGAGCATTGAGTTTCCCACGCATGTGTCCACTCCTCCACCAGTTATTTCCATCCCTAGGTCCTTTTCCCAGCGCTGTCATACATAGTCTGTAGAATTTTTGTTCATAGAAGTAATAGCTTTATACAATTTGCCTGTAACCCCTCTAATATTTTCACACTTATATGCATCAATAAAAATCTGAATAATTTTTGAAAAATTTTCAGGGTTAAGACCTCTGATCTCCTTCGTGAAAAAATTGCGTACCTGTAAATACCTGTAAAAATCCTGTCTCTCAAGATTAAACAACTGACTCAGGTGCTGGAAACTGTCAAGTTCCCCTTTTGATATAATTTTACAGAGGGCGGTGATACCAATCTGGGTCCATCGTTTGTATCCATGATCAAGGGTAGCTGGTGCAAAGTGGGGATTGTAAGCTGGCCAACTAAGTATTTTTACCTGTTTGTGGAGCTGGAATTTCTTAACAACCTCTAACCACTTCTTAATGGTAAAACTCACACAGTGGTTCTTGAATTCGAATATTTCCTTTACCCTATCAAGACAACCTAGAACTGACTGTATTGGTGTGTCCCCCAAAGAAAAGTCAATATCTTTCCACTTGGCCTCATAAGATGAATTACACTAGAGCACCAGGGGTCTGAGCTGGGCTGATAAATAATAATCCTTCAAGCAAGGAAGTGCCAAGCCTCCCCCCTCTCTCGGCAGCTGAAGTGTTGAGTATTTAACCCGGGGTCTCTTTTGATTCCATATAAACCTGGAGATATGTTTATCCCATTCTCTAAACTGTTTGCTGGGGACCTCTACTGGCAGAGCTGTGAATAAGTACAGTAGCCTGGGAAGAACATTCATCTTAATCGATCTTACTCTGCCACCTATGTCAAGGGGGAGCAAGGCCCACCTGTCCATGTCATTATATATCTTTTTATTAATCCGATTATAATTTATTGTGTACAAGGAGGACAAATCTTTTGGCAGGTAAACCCCAAGGTATTGGATACATGGTGAATGCCACTTAAAATTGTACTTATTCACCAATTCGGAAGTAGGGGTGTAATTGAATGTCAGGGCCTGCGTTTTGTGAATATTGAGTGTATAACCAGAGTAACTTCCGTACATCTTTAAAATATTCATCAACAAAGGTACCCTAAACCTGGATTATGTACAGTCACCAATAAATCATCTGCGTACAGACAGGCTTTGTATTCTAAACCCCCTATAGTTATACCCTCCAGACCAATTTCCTGTCTAATGGCTTGAGCCAAAGGTTCAATAAAGAGATTAAACAGGGTCCGACTAATGGGGCAGCCCTGTCTACATCCTCTTTGCAAGACTATAGAATCAGAAACACTGCCATTAATTTTAATCCTGGCAGTTGGGGATGAATATAATGTTTTTATACATGTACATTTTATACATTATACATTTTATAAATGTTTTACTAAACCCAAATCTGTCCATTACTTGGTACAGGAAGTCCCAACCAACAGAATCAAAGGCCTTCTCAGCATCTAAGCTGAGAAGGACAGCACTATCTTTTCTTATATTTATGTAATAATAATAATAATATGAAGGGCCGTATATTGTCATGAGTTTGCCTGTTTTTTATGAATCCCGTTTGGTCCTTGTCTATCAAAAGTGGCATCAGTTCTTCCATCCTCCTAGTCAAAATTGAGGCATACAGTTTATAGTCAGTGTTCAAAACATTAATCGGCCTATATGATTTACAGTCCAGCTTGTCTTTGCCCTCCTTTGGTATTACTGATATATAGGCCTCCCTCCAAGACGGGGGGAGGGTCCCTTTTGACATAATATGGTTGAAACAGGTTTTAAGTAATGGGAGCAGTGATTCCCTCATCAGTTTGTACCATTCTGGCGGATATCCGTCAGTACCTGGTGATTTACCCGCCTTAAGTGCAGAAATTGCCTTGTCAATTTCCTCACTTGAGATTTCTGAAGTGAGTTTATCGTTGTGCTCCTTACCTAGAGAGGGAAGGTCTAATGAATTCAAAAACTGAAATTTTTTGTTCGCTAGCTTTCTCCGGTTGGGTATATAGTGATTTGTAGTATGTTTCAAATGATTTCTGGATTTCCTCTAGTTTAGTCAATAATTTATTTGTTATGGGATCCCTTAATTTATAAATTGACTTTTCCGCTTGTTGCTTGCGGAGCCTCCATGCTACTAATTTTGCCTTTTGGGCCAGCTTCATAGTACCATTGTCTCATAAATCTGATTTTCTTTTCAACCTCTTCGCTGCAAATTTTATCTATTTCCTGTTAAATAGACCTCATTTGTAAAAGGGCAGATGGGTCTTTAGTAGAGCCATGGAGCCGTTCTAAGTCCCTGAGTTTAACTTCCAGATCAGACAGTTTTTTCGCTTTTAACTTTTTTAAGAGAGCTGAATAAGCTATTATTTTCCCTCTGAGGAAAGCTCTGGCTGTATCCCACAGTAAGTGGGATAGTAAAAGTCCTTCAATTCCCCTGTCATTGTAGCTTTAAATGCTGCACCATTTAGCATACCTGTGTTAAGCCTCTATAGAGTTTTCCTTGGGGCACAGTGGAGGTGAATTTTTAAATACAGTCCAGAATGATCTGAGAGGTCTCTCTGACCTATTCTACAGTCCCTAATCCTGTGCCGATCAGTGTTGAACATGAGAAAGTAATTGCTTCTCGAATGAGTGTCATGACGGGCTGAATAGAATGTATCATCAGAATCAAATCTATTTAAATCCCGCCATACATCAATTAAACCCAGACTTTGCAGCATACTGTTCACCTGTTTCTCAACAGAGCTCTTATTTCTTGTTGTACTGGTTGTGTCTAACCTAGGATTCAATAATATATTTAGATCGCCAGCACAAATAAGGGTGCCATACGTTTCAGTTGCAATTAAATCAAATATTTTCTTAAAAAAGGGTTTACCACTTCCAGGGGGAGCATAAATGTTTAATAAAGTAACTTCCTTATGGTCAAGTTTACCCCTGACTAAAATATATCTGCCATCTTTGTCTTTTATTTCAGAAACAAATTCAAAACTAGTGGAGTTTGAAATAAGTATTGCGACTCCCCTTTTCTTTCCTGATTTATGTGAGGAAAAAAAGGTGTTATGGAAGCCATATTTTCTAAGTTTCTCATGTTCAGTACAGCAGAGTTTCTCGCCAGAATGCTATATTAATTTTCTCCCTTTTCAACTTTGCTATCATTTTGCTCCTTTTAATGGGACTGTTCAGTCCATTTACATTTAGGGATATAATATTATGATATTGAAAAGACATTTCTCTTTCTCAAACATTTTTTCCTGTACCCTTAACAACCAAAGTTCAGACCTCAAAGAACAACATGGGTAAATAAGAACTAACACACAGTAATAACTATCGTACAAAATAATATTGAAATACAAAACGAATAGGGCTTCCAAACAAGAGGGCTTATTGTTTCCTCTAGCTACAGTGAGGGGAGTTGGCCACAAGGTGGGGCCCCTCATCAACAGACTCAGATGGTAAAAAATAGAAAATAAACAAATAGAGCAAGGAGTTGCTAAACAGACCCCCAAAATGTTGCGCAGTAGTTTGCTTGTCCTACATCGGCCTTAGTGTATACAACAAGGATTTACAGAGGTCATTTTTGTATCTTAATGTCCACCATCAGTTTTTACTCACCAACACACATGGAGAAATGTTCGTGAAATATATCCCTGGCCTCCTTTACACAAAAGTCACTGTTATTTGACGACTCCGCTTACAATTAAACCTGTGGCCGGGTGCCGGGGGGATTATTTAAAATACAGTCATACCTCCCCTGCCTTATTGTCTCGGTTCTCCCTCCGAAATCCCTTAAGTTTCTCTCGTACAGCCTCTTGAAAGTTGTGTTTACCGCCCGTCCGGCGCTCTCCAGCTATATTCCATGGAAGAAGCTTAGTAAGAATTTCCTCCGTGATGCCCTCTGCCTTGCTTCCGCGGATGCATCCTACCAAAAAGCCTCGCTTGGACAAATCCTCTGCTGCTTCTGTGGCGTTGTTGTAGGTGACTGCACCAGAGTCAAGGTGTACTTGCATCTTGGTGAGCGGGGTTTGGAACCGGATTTTGTTTTCCTTAAGCACTCGCTTGATCGGAGCGTACCCCTTACTTTTCTGCTGCACCCGCTCGGCGTAGTCGTGATCAAAATACACCCTCTTTTCCTGCACGTACATCGTCTTCTTCCAGGCAGCCTGTAAAACTTTTTCTTTAGTCGTAAACTGCAGGAATCGCACCACAATTGAGGGTGGTGACACACCAGTTGGTGGCTTGGGGGCCAGTGCTCAGTGGGCCCTTTCAATTCCTAGTTCTTTCCCCAGAGAAAGACCCAGGTTATCTCCAAGTTCTCTCATAATTAAATCCTTGATAAAGCAGTTCATAGAAGTGCCCTCCGTGTTTTCTGGGATACCGTATATGCGGACGTTATTGCGCCGAGAACGTCCTTCGAGGCCCGTGAATTAAAGTATCTTTAATGCCGATATCCCACTTTTCTGATCCTGCCATGCTTCACTCAACCACCTCCAAGCGCCGAGTAGCCTCCTCAATTTAGCCGGTCGCGTCTTGAAGTTTCTGATTAATTTCAGAAGTGAGTTCATCTAGTTGTGCTTTCATATCCTGAGAAAAGCTAGCTCAAAATTCGGATAATTCTTTTCTCATATCCGACTTCAAATCACGCATCCCCTCGGCCATGACTTCGCCCATCACCTTATGGATAGAGCTGAGTGTAGCTGGTGTGTCGCCTTCTTCTTCGAAGTCGCCATGTTTCTCGAGGCAGGAGGCTACGCTAGCGTTAGCGGCAGCTTCCTTTTTCTTAATTTCCCTCTCCGTGGCACTCTTAACCATCGACCTCGTTTTTCTTTGTTCATCCCCGTCCATTCTCCCTTCGACTTGAGACTAGTTTTGAGTGCTACAGCACTTGAATTATGGGGATTCTACCTGGCCAATGTGAGAGCTCAGCATTGTGCTGCCATTCTGTACCTCGCACCGCCGGAAGTCTGGGTCAGTCCTGTTAGTCCAGGGCAGTCATGTTAGTCTGGGTCAGTTCTATTAGTCCGGGTCAGTCCTGTTACTCCTGTTAGTCCAGGTCAGTCCTGTTAGTCTGGGTCAGTCCTGTTAGTCCTGTTATGAGTACTGGTCCAGTAAGTCTGGCCGTCTCAGTTTCTTGGACCGGCGGCTCTGCTCACCTCCCAGTGGATCCACTTGAACTGATGAAGGTCGACTTTGGAGAAATCCTCCGCAGTGACATCAGGAAGGTTCCTGACAGACAGGAAGTGAGGTCAGACTTTCTGTTCATCATGAATCAACACAGGCAGTGACCTTATCACTCACTGCGATTAACAGTGAGTGAATAACAGTTAGCATGCTAACAGTTAGCTCGCCATGCTCCGTTAACATACTGTTAACTTTAAGGAAACATCTGCTCCTCCTAAAGATGATTTATGATTTCCGACACTAAGACATAATTCAGTATTAACTGTAGCTCCATGTAAAATGAATAAATGTGATGTTTCCAGCTAATCCTCCACTCGTCTGTGTTAACCACGCAGTTTACACGTTTTTATAACTTCTGATTTATTAAAAACTGTTCTGAGTCAAACATGATTCAGTCATAGTAATATAAAGTAGCAGTAAATTCACGTGTTTATATGATATAAAGGCAGTACAGTAAATCAGTGACACATTCTCAGCCCTGATGACTAAATACATATTCCACAGTTTATTTTCTAATGTAGGTTGAGCCTGAAGTCAGACGGGGAAAGACAGGGATATCATTTAATGATGCTGAGTGACATACCTGTCAGTCTACACGTCATTCTCTTCTGATAATTCTGATTTAAACGCTTGTGGTTTTATTTCTCATAACCCATGGCAACAGGAACAATGCCTTTTTGTTCTGGTCACATGTTCAACATGTTGCTGAAGACAAAAATGTAGCTCAGACTAGTTGTTAGTCGTTACAGACACGGACAGTGCAACAGGTACCAGAGCTCCACAGAGACATTTCAGAAAATGCTGAGTTAACATTAGTTAAATATTTGTTTAAAAAATAAATCAATATTTGCAAAACTGAAGGCAAATGACTTTGGAAAAGAACCAGTGTTGGCAGTTAGCCACCAAGAGTAGCCACGAGGACAGACAGTCTATGGGACTAACTAGCTCACTGCTACTTCCTCTAACTCACAGGAGGCTGCGCCCAGAATCATTTCTACAGTCATGTCCTCAGGAATGAGGTGGATTGAAGTCTTTCATGTCTATCAAGAAGCCTGATGATGTCACTGTGACATCATAAGGCTGAGGACCAACCAGGACCAGTAAACGGTTGTCTGTAAAATCATGGAATGACCCTTTAAATCCGGCTGATATTCCTGTATGACTCAATGTGATAGACACAGTGTCATCATCATCATCATCATCCTCAGCCTTTGTTTCTCCTCTGAGGAGTTTGTTGATCACTGATTGATTAGACTGAACTTTGACACCGAGCCGACGTCTGACAGTCATAGCATTCAGTCTGCAATGAGTCGCCGAAGTTCCATCATCTGAAGTCGTTTATCAAATTATGTCCAAAAACCTTTATTTTATTTTGTCTTTAATGCGACTGAAGAATATCCATTACATTTGATTTTGTAACTTTGGGAAAAGCCTTGTCACAGACCCATTACAGACCCATTACAGACTTGTCCTCGTCACAGATGCGGATTAACATCAATTTAATTACTGAACGTTTCATCACAGATATTACATTAATTACTGACAATCAATTAATGAATTAAAACCACTGCAGGGACTCAATGAGGTCATGATGTCATCGTGAGGTCATGATGTCATCATGAAGTGAATCAGCTCTGCTCGCACATTTAAAGGAACAGTCTCACATTTTCTTGTCTGATGGGAAACAGTTTAATTTCTGTAAGTCGACTGTGAGACAGGTCCACTGTGAGACAGTCCACTGTGAGACAGTCCACTGTGAAACATGTCCACTGTGAGACAGCTCCATTGTGAGACAGGTCCACTGTGAGACAGTCCACTGTGAAACATGTCCACTGTAAGATAGTCCACTGTGAGACAGGTCCACTGTGAGACAGTCCACTGTGAGACAGTCCACTGTGAAACATGTCCACTGTAAGATAGTCCACTGTGAGACAGGTCCACTGTGAGACAGTCCACTGTGAAACATGTCCACTATAAGATAGTCCACTGTGAGACAGTCCACTGTGAAACATGTCCACTGTAAGATAGTCCACTGTGAGACAGGTCCACTGTGAGACAGTCCACTGTGAAACATGTCCACTGTAAGATAGTCCACTGTGAGACAGGTCCACTGTGAGACAGTCCACTGTGAGACAGTCCACTGTGAAACATGTCCACTGTAAGATAGTCCACTGTGAGACAGGTCCACTGTGAGACAGTCCACTGTGAAACATGTCCACTATAAGCAAGTCCACTGTGAGACAGTCCACTGTGAAACATGTCCACTGTAAGATAGTCCACTGTGAGACAGGTCCACTGTGAGACAGTCCACTGTGAAACATGTCCACTATAAGCAAGTCCACTGTGAGACAGTCCACTGTGAAACATGTCCACTGTAAGATAGTCCACTGTGAGACAGGTCCACTGTGAGACAGTCCACTGTAAAACATGTCCACTGTAAGACAGTCCACTGTGAGACAGTCCACTGTGAAACATGTCCACTGTAAGATAGTTCACTGTGAGACAGTCCACTGTGAGACAAGTCCACTGTGAGACAGTCCACTGTGAAACATGTCCACTGTAAGATAGTCCACTGTGAGACAGGTCCACTGTGAGACAGTCCACTGTGAGACAGGTCCACTGTAAGACAGTCCACTGTGAGACAGGTCCACTGTAAGACAGTCCACTGTGAGACAGGTCCACTGTGAGACAGTCCACTGTGAAACATGTCCACTGTAAGATAGTCCACTGTGAGACAGGTCCACTGTGAGACAGTCCTCTGTGAAACATGTCCACTATAAGATAGTCCACTGTGAGACAGGTCCACTGTGAGACAGTCCACTGTGAGATAGTCCACTGTGAGACAGGTCCATTGTTTGATAGTCCACTGTGAGACAGGTCCACTGTGAGACAGTCCACTGTGAGACAGGTCCACTGTGAAACATGTCCACTGTAAGATAGTCCACTGTGAGACAGGTCCACTGTGAGACAGGTCCACTGTGAGACAGTCCACTGTGAGTTGGACCAGGCTAGCTGCTTCTTCCTCTCGCAAGTCTTTATGCTAAGCTAAGCTAAGTGCATCCTTACATTAAACTGTTCCTTTAAATGTTGGAAGTGATGATGTAAACTTAATTTTTCGTTTTCATCCTGTTTATTGACAGAGCAGAGCTCAGCTGATCGTCTCTGTGATGGGTGGATCCATTCAAGTATTCTCTCTGCAGTGGTCATTACACCAGGATCAGGACCAGGATCAGGACCAGGATTGGGTGTTCATGCTTCCTTCAGGCAGGTCAAACAGCGTTCACAAAACACCTCTGTATGTTTGTTTAATCTGCCTGCAGTACCACATGGGAGGAGTTTACACCACATGGGTGAAGGCTCAGATAGAGGGAGCGTGGCCTCTCTCAGTTTCCGTGATATCTCTGCTTCACTCAGTAAAATTTTCCTCCAGCTGAGAAAAGCAATTTAAAAATCTGTGTTGTCATCATAACATAATGTCTATTAGCCAACTGACCATATTCAGCTGGCCACATTATGTCTAAGGAAACGCGTTTGAATTATACGCCAGATGAGCAGCACCATTAGACTGAAAAGGCGCCATCTTGGTGTCCGATATCTCGTTATTATTATACAACTATGGTCACTTCACAAGAACCCTGGAGCCCTCGTGATGAGGTCATGTCATTTCTCTAAACCTGCAGCCAGACAGTAGCTCGGCTACTTTTAGAGCACAGGCTTAACGTGGTTAGGTTAACATGAGCTAATTTAATATTAGCTTCATTAGCATTAGCTACATAAACACTGGCTTTATTAGCATTAGCTACATTAACATTAGCTACATAGACATTAGCTTCATTAGCATTAGCTACATAAACGTAAGCTTCATTAGCATTAGCTACATAAACATTAGCTTCATTAGCATTTGCTACATTAACATAAGCTTCATTAGCATTAGCTTCATTAGCATTATCTACATAAACATTACCTTTATTAACATAAGCTTTCTTAGCTGCATCATGACGACAGCAAACTCTAACATTACAGAATATTTGAATTATCGCTTTTCAGTGGTTCTATTGACGAGCTGCCTTTCTGTTCCTCACACTGTGTGACTGGTGTTAGTGTTCTTTCAAAGATCCTTGAGAAAGTAGTCGCAGACCAGCTCTGTGATTTTCTCCATGATAATAATTTATTTGAGGAATTTCAGTCAGGATTTAGAGTGCATCATAGCACTGAGACAGCACTAGTTAAAATTACAAATGACCTTCTGATTGCTTCAGACAAAGGACTTGTCTCTGTACTTGTTTTATTAGATCTTAGTGCGGCGTTTGACACAATTGACCATCAAATTATGCTACAGAGACTGGATCACTTAATTGGCCTAAAAGGTTCTGCACTAAGCTGGTTTAAATCTTATTTATCTGATCGTTTTCAGTTTGTTCACATTCATAATGAATCATCCTTACATACTAAAGTTTGTTTTGGAGTTCCGCAAGGTTCTGTGCTCGGACCAATCCTATTTACTCTATATATGCTTCCTTTAGGTAACATCATTAGAAATCACTCTATAAATTTCCATTGTTATGCGGATGATACTCAGTTGTATTTATCGATGAAGCCAGAAGAAAGTAATCAATTAACTAAACTTCATAACTGCCTTAAAGACATAAAAACTTGGATGAGCACCAATTTCCTGATGTTAAATTCAGACAAAACTGAAATTATTGTTCTTGGCCCCAAACAACTCAGAGACTCTTTATCTGATGACATAGTTTCTCTAGATGGCATTGCTCTGGCCTCTAGCACTACTGTAAGAAGCCTCGGAGTAATATTTGATCAAGATTTGTCTTTTAATTCTCATTTAAAACAAACCTCACGGACTGCATTTTTTCATCTGCGTAATATTGCGAAAATTAGGCCTATCCTGACCCGAAAAGATGCAGAAAAATTGGTCCACGCTTTTGTTACCTCTAGGCTGGATTACTGTAACTCTCTATTATCAGGTAGCTCTAGTAAGTCCTTAAAAACTCTCCAGCTAATTCAGAATGCAGCAGCACGTGTACTAACAGGAACTAAGAAACGAGATCATATTTCTCCTGTTTTAGCTTCGCTGCACTGGCTCCCTGTAAAATCCAGAATTGAATTTAAAATCCTACTGTTAACTTATAAAGCTCTAAATGGTCAAGCTCCATCATATCTTAGAGAGCTCATAGTGCCATATTATCCCACCAGAACACTGCGCTCTGAGAACGCAGGGTTACTCGTGGTCCCTAAAGTCTCCAAAAGTAGATCAGGAGCCAGAGCCTTCAGCTATCAGGCTCCTCTCCTGTGGAATCATCTTCCTGTTACGGTCCGGGAGGCAGACACCGTCTCCACATTTAAGACTAGACTTAAGACTTTCCTCTTTGATAAAGCTTATAGTTAGGGCTGGCTCAGGCTTGCCCTGTACCAGCCCCTAGTTAGGCTGACATACACCTAATCTGCTGGGGGACTTCCTATTATACACCGAGCACCTTCTCTCTCTCTGTCGCTCCTTTGCTAACATTGTGTAACATGTCCTGTTACTACATCTCGCTAACTCGGCTCAACTGCATGTCACAAACTCCGCTCTACTGCATGTCACCAACCTCGGCTTCTTCTCCAGAGTCTCTGTGCTCCACTGTCTGGCAGGTTACCCCGTATCGCAGCTGTGCCTGGATCGTCTGGTGTGATTGTTCCTCACACTGTGTGACTGGTGTTACAGTGTTACTGTGATAGTTCCTGATGTAATCCGATAATTTGAACATTTTTGAAGGTAAATTTCAGGGCTCCCGTTGATCAACCTGATTTATAGAAGTGATGACACTTCTGTCTCTATGGTAACAAGGTGACAGTGATAAGAGGTATTTCATGAACGTTGTCCGCGCCCGCAGGTTGTCAGCTCATCTTACATGTCAGAGAGAATGACGGTTCGAGATCCGCTGGACGGACAAACAACACAACACGCACACGGGGTTTGACCTTCGACCTGCCAAACCACTGCTGAGACATCGACCATTCGCTGAGAGAAGTCTGCCATGATGAAACTGACGGACAGAGAGGGAGAAATACAGGAAACTGCTTCATATCAACTCTGTCCTCCAAAATATAACCACTGACAGACAGAAAATTTTGTCTTCAGTGGTGGAACCAGAGGAGCTCCGAGTTGTTCTGTAACAGCAATGATGATGATGATGTTCCTGAAATAGAGACAGTTAGTCAGACACACACACACACACACCTGTTCACACTTGTTATCACCTGTTCATGTGCAGTATGGTGCGACTTCCTGTGCTGATGTTGCTGATGACCACGGAGGCTGGAAGGACACACTGAGCGTGCTCAGACACCAAAGACACATCGATATGGAACTTCTGAAAATCCTCCAAAATAAAACTACAGACAGGAAACTGTTTCACATCTCCTCTGACCTCAAAAATAAAACTACAGACAGGAAACTGTTTCATGTCTTCATTGTAACCTGAACCATAAACTGATCAGGTTCCTCCTCACTGAGAATGTTAGACATCTACAGAGGAGACAAGGAGAGAGAAAGGAGACGTGGAAACACGAAGAGAGATAGGAGACAAGGAAACAAGGAGAGACAAAGGAGACAAGAAAACTAACTCGTAGAGTTTGGAAGTATTAAAACGTATTTTATCAGAGACTTCAGACCTCCAGTTGTTTCCATGGATACAATGAATCTGACCCTGTTCCATCCATCATCCATCAAACATCCATTGATACATCCATCTGTCCAGTCGTCAATCCATTCGTTCATCCATCCATCCATCCATTCATCAATCCATCATCAATTTATACATCCATCATCAAATAATCCATCATCCATCCATTGTCATCCAGCCACCCATCCATCATCCAGCCATCCATCCATCATCTATCATCATCCATCCATCAAAATTGTTTCTTTGTATTGATCAGTCTGTCAGTTATTGATGAATGTGTTGTTGAGTCTATAGATTGATCAGTACTCACTCAGCCACAGGTCCAGCAGAGAGTGAACCCATGAAGGCGCTCGAAGCTCCCAGCAGTGACAGCACCGTGCAGGAGTTTGATGCGTTTCCTCCTCGCTGCCAACGTTGTGACAAACATCTGTAGACATGGAAGGTGAACACATTACTACATCACTGATCAACATCACAACACCATTGATCAACATTACTACATCATCAACCGACATCACTGTTGAGAATGTCAGTGGTATCAGTGGTAGCATTAGCCTATGTGCTAACCTGGTATCACTGTTAGTAATAGCCCATATTCTAACATGGTTTCACTGTTAGCATTAGCCTATGTGCTAACTGGTATCACTGTTAGTAATAGCCCATATTCTAACATGGTTTCACTGTTAGCATTAGCCTGTGTGCTAACCTGGTATCACTGTTAGCATTAGGCTGCTTGCTAATCTGGTATCACAATTAGCAGAAGCCTGCGTGATAACCTGTAGCAGTGTTGGCATCAGCCCCTGTTCTAACCTGGTAACACTGTTAACATTAGCCTGCTTGCTAATTTGGGATCACTGTTAGCATTAGCATTGGTGCTAACCTGGTATCAAAGTCAGTATTAGAGTATGTTCTAACATGGTATCAGTGGTAACATTAGCCTGTGTGCTAACCTGGTATCACTGTTAGTAATAGCCCATGTTCTAAAATGGTTTCACTGTAAGCATCAGCCTGTGTGCTAACCTGGTATCAGTGTCTTCTTCTGGGTACTTGTCGACCACGTTGATGATGTCGAGACACACCAGACCAACACACAGAATCTTCTTCTTCTGTTCCTCCATGTTTTCCACACACACAGCTGCAGTCTGGACTGGACTGGACTTTGACTGACTGACATACACACACACACACACCCTTTATCTGGTCAACTCTCCACAATAAGACTCACTACTTCCTGTCAGCAGAGATGATCAAATAAGAGCCTTTCAGGGGCGACTGTCCCCATCCATCCTGACAGGACTTAATGATCTCGAGCTTTAACCAGCGGTGTCATTGATTTCTATTCTGTGTCAGTTTCCTGAAACAGTTCAGTTACTTCAGTGACTTCCTTGTAAGACTCAAAGTCCTCCATCCAATGTGTGTCCAACATGTGTCCAGCATGTCCACACACCCAGAACCAACCAGAAACCTGTGACACTGTAAATATTACCTTATGGGACAGAAACAAAAAAAATGTCTTTGATCAGCAGAAGAAATTCTGCATTTAAACAGATGGTGAATAATTACCTCTATAACTCAGTAACTTGTTAACTCAGTAACTCAGTCAGTGTGTGTGGCAAATGTATGTTGTATCTGTGGGGTTGGCACTCAAGATGTATGGAAGCGTGAAGAAAATTTTCCTAATAGGACAAATAAACTAATCTACTAACTTGTTAACTCGGTAACTCAGTAACTTCTTAACTCAATAACTTTGTCAGTCGCCTGTTTTCAGTCTGGATTTTTATTAACAATGTTTTTAACGGCTTGTAAGTCATCAGCATAAACACATCGTGAACACAACAGAACTTTCAGCAGTGTTTCTGCTGTCTGGGTGGATGGAGGAGGGAGGGTGGAGGGAGGGTGGAGGAGGGTGGAGGGAGGAGGAGGGAGGGCGGAGGGAGGGAGGAGAGACAGAGGAGGGAGAAGGGTGGAGGAGGGCGGAGGGAGGGAGGAGGGACGGAGGAGGGAGAAGGGTGGAGGGTGGTTGGTGTTTCTGTGTTGTTGTTGCTGTTTATTTTAAAAATAAATAAAAAGACTAAGCCCGCCCACAGGATGACCTCACACTGACTCTGTGTTTATTTGTTTACACAATAAATAAAATGTCATAACAGATCAATAATCGATCGTCGATCAGCAGTCAGGAATCACCATCTCAAACATGGCCACCCGGATAGTCGGACCTCCCCCTGAGCCGCAGGTGCCAAAGAAACCAGAGGGTACGGTCCCGTCTGGTCTACTGGTCCGCAGTGGGCGGGGGCTCTGGCCCGTCATCGCTCGGCCCTGACATCTGCATGAAGAGCTCCCTCAGTTCTGTGATGTCATCATCAAGGGACGGCATGGGTGGGGCCGGCCGCTGCTCGCGCTCCTCGATGAAGTCCCACAGACGGACGTTGTTCATGAACTGAAACAGACAGACACAGGTTAGAAACTACAAATCCCAGAAGCACAAAGCTGATGAACTTCTCTGGTTCTGACCCGGACGTTCCCCTCGGAGCTCAGCTGCTTCCTCGGCCGGTCGGGTTCTGCCCGGGTTCCGTCTGGGAAGGCGTGAAGATACAAACACTTCCCTCCGAACGGACATGAACCTCGACCCTGATCGAAGTACTTACAGGACTTCTTACTGCAACGACAGGAAATGACATCGTCATCAAACAAACCAATTAGCATGGCTCGCCTGCAAAGAGGAAGGGGAGGGAGAAAGGACGGCGATTTCACTGCAGCATCGAGATGATTTACTGAGTTTATACTGTGGCGTCCCGTTGTTGTCACTGGGTCACAGCTCAGGTGTTAAACGTCCCGACCCCGGCCTGACCTGAACCTGACATGAGCCTGACGTGAGCCTGACATGAGCCTGTCCTGACCTGAGCCTGAGCTTGACCTGAGCCTGTCCTGAGCCTGTCCTGACCTGAGCCTGCCATGAACCTGAGCCTGTCATGAACCTGAGCCTGTCCTGACCTGAGCCTGTCCTGAGCCTGTCCTGACCTGAGCCTGAGCTTGACCTGAGCCTGTCCTGACCTGAGCCTGCCATGAACCTGAGCCTGTCATGAACCTGAGCCTGTCCTGACCTGAACCTGTCCTGAGCCTGTCCTGACCTGAGCCTGAGCTTGACCTGAGCCTGTCCTGAGCCTGACCTGAGCCTGACCTGAGCCTGACCTGAGCCTGTCATGAACCTGAGCCTGAGCCTAGCATGACCTGAGCCTGACCTGATCCTGAGCCTGACCTGAGCATGTCCTGAGCCTGACCTGAGCCTGACCTGAGCTTGACCTGAGCCTGACCCTGACCTGAGCTTGAGCCTGACCTGACAGTTGGACATGTGTGTCAGACAGTTGGACATGTGTGTGTGTGTCAGACAGTTGGACGTGGTGTCTCCCTGACTGAGGTCACATGGTCTCACCTGACTCCAGACTTGAAGAGCTCTATCAGCTGGTCCTTGTTGTCCTGGTCCTCCACCCAGCAGACCGAAGGGATGACAAACTCTGAGATGACTCGACACTCTGGACACGACCTGAGACAGACAGACAGACAGATGGACAGATGGACAGATGGACAACGTGTCTCTTAGACCCCATCCCAACTAGGCTACTTAAGGAGGTCTTTCCTTTAGTTAACACTCATATATTAGATATGATCAATATATCCTTATTAACAGGCTATGTACCACAGTCTTTTAAGGTAGCCGTAATTAAATCTCTACTAAAAAAGCCCACCCTGGATCCAGAGGTGTTAGCCAACTATAGACCAATATCTAATCTTCCCTTTATGTCAAAGATCCTTGAGAAAGTAGTCGCAGACCAGCTGTGTGATTTTCTCCATGATAATAATTTATTTGAGGAATTTCAGTCAGGATTTAGAGTGCATCATAGCACTGAGACAGCACTAGTTAAAATTACAAATGACCTTCTGATTGCTTCAGACAAAGGACTTGTCTCTGTACTTGTTTTATTAGATCTTAGTGCGGCGTTTGACACAATTGACCATCAAATTCTACTGCAGAGACTGGATCACTTAATTGGCCTAAAAGGTTCTGCACTAAGCTGGTTTAAATCTTATTTATCTGATCGTTTTCAGTTTGTTGACGTTCATAATGAATCATCCTTACGTACCAAAGTTTGTTTTGGAGTTCCGCAAGGTTCTGTGCTCGGACCAATCCTATTTACTCTATATATGCTTCCTTTAGGTAACATCATTAGAAATCACTCTATAAATTTCCATTGTTATGCGGATGATACTCAGTTGTATTTATCGATGAAGCCAGAAGAAAGTAATCAATTAACTAAACTCCATAACTGCCTTAAAGACATAAAAACTTGGATGAGCACCAATTTCCTGATGTTAAATTCAGACAAAACTGAAGTTATTGTTCTTGGCCCCAAACAACTCAGAGACTCTTTATCTGATGACATAGTTTCTCTAGATGGCATTGCTCTGGCCTCTAGCACTACCGTAAGAAACCTCGGAGTAATATTTGATCAAGATTTGTCTTTTAATTCTCATTTAAAACAAACCTCACGGACTGCATTTTTTCATCTGCGTAATATTGCGAAAATTAGGCCTATCCTGACCCGAAAAGATGCAGAAAAATTGGTCCACGCTTTTGTTACCTCAAGGCTGGATTACTGTAACTCTCTATTATCAGGTAGCTCTAGTAAGTCCTTAAAAACTCTCCAGCTAATTCAGAATGCAGCAGCACGTGTACTAACAGGAACTAAGAAACGAGATCATATTTCTCCTGTTTTAGCTTCTCTGCACTGGCTCCCTGTAAAATCCAGAATTGAATTTAAAATCCTACTGTTAACTTATAAAGCTCTAAATGGTCAAGCTCCGTCATATCTTAGAGAGCTCATAGTGCCATATTATCCCACCAGAACACTGCGCTCTGAGAACGCAGGGTTACTCGTGGTCCCTAAAGTCTCCAAAAGTAGATCAGGAGCCAGAGCCTTCAGCTATCAGGCTCCTCTCCTGTGGAATCATCTTCCTGTTACGGTCCGGGAGGCAGACACCGTCTCCACATTTAAGACTAGACTTAAGACTTTCCTCTTTGATAAAGCTTATAGTTAGGGCTGGCTCAGGCTTGCCCTGTACCAGCCCCTAGTTAGGCTGACTTAGGCCTAGTCTGCCGGAGGACCCCCTATAATACACCGGGCTCCCTCTCTCTCCCTCTCTCTCTCTCTCTCTCTCTCTCTCTCTCTCTCTCTCTCTCTCTCTCTCACTCTCATCCTATTACTGCATCTTGCTAACTCGGCCATTCTGGATGTCACTAACTCGGCTTCTTCTCCGGAGCCTTTGTGCTCCACTGTCTCTCAGAATAACTCATACCGCAGCGGTGCCTGGACAGTGTGACGTGTGTGGTTGTGCTGCTGCCGTGGTCCTGCCAGATGCCTCCTGCTGCTGCTGCCATCATTAGTCATTAGTCATACTTCTACTGTTATTATACACATATGACTATTGTCACACAAGTATACTGTCTGATATTAATACATACTTTCAACATATTGTACCACAGTAGCCAGAACTATAACTATAATATTATTACTTTCATTAATGTTGTTGTAAGCTACTGTCATTACCTGCATCTCTCTCTCTCTCTCTCTCTCTCTCTCTCTCTCTCTCTCTCTCTCTTTCTCTCTCTCTCTCTCTCTCTCTCTCTGTCTCATTGTGTCATATGGATTACTGTTAATTTATTATGCTGATCTGTTCTGTACGACATCTATTGCACGTCTGTCCGTCCTGGAAGAGGGATCCCTCCTCAGTTGCTCTTCCTGAGGTTTCTACCGTTTTTTTTCCCCGTTAAAGGGTTTTTTTTTGGGGAGTTTTTCCTTATCCGCTGTGAGGGTCTTAAGGACAGAGGGATGTCGTATGCTGTAAAGCCCTGTGAGGCAAATTGTGATTTGTGATATTGGGTTTTATAAATAAAATTGAAAAAATTGAAATTGACATGACATCAGACAGAGACTCAGCCTGTTCCAGACTCTGGTCCCACATGAAGACAGTCTTACTTGATGATCTTGTTGCTGAAGTTTCTGGTGCAGCGCCACTGACGGATGCAAGACAGACAGAAGGTGTGACAGCAGGACGACAGGATGCCGAACCTGCGGTCTGACGGGTTAACCTTCTGCACCACCACCTCCATACAGATGGAACACACCTGGACAACAACACTACAGTTACTGTGACTGTCACCATGACAACATCCTGATTCGGGACAGACTCAACCCACCTTGTCCTGACTCAGCTGGGCCGCAAACGCCTTCTCCATGTCTGCCTCGAAGGCCAGAAGACACATCTGCAGGCAGGCAGAGGGACAGACAGACAGACAGACAGACAGACAGACAGAGAAGGGGACACACAGAGGGACAGACAGACAGAGAGAGAGGGACAGAGTGTTTCAGGTGCGTTTTATATGAAGTTGTTTAGTCTCATTTATTAACACTGTTAAGTGATGGTTGGTGTGAGAGAAGAGGATGCAGAGGATAGTGTTAGATGGAGGCAGATGATTAGCTGTGGCGCCCCCTAAAGGGAGCAGCTCAAAGAAGAACTTTAGTCTCATTGATGGGACATGTCTCAGATGGGACATGTCTGAGTGACTCTACATGTCTCATATTAAAACTTATTGA